GGGGGCGGGGGGGGGCGCGCGCCGGGGGGGAGGGCCCAGGCGATGGGAGCGGGGCCGATGCCGGGGTGGGGCGGGGGGGGGGGTGGGGTGGAGGGGGGCAAGAGGTGGGCGGATGCCCGAAGTGGGTCAAGGTGGGCGGGGGGGGGGCACCGGTCGCAGGCGTGGAGGGGGGGGGTGGGGGGGGTGCGGGAGCCTGGGGGCGCGTGGGGACGCAGGGGGCGGGGCAAGCCAATGCGTGGGGGCGCGGGGGGGGGCGTCCGGGGGTGGGCGGGGGCGTGGGGAAGAGCCCACTCGGGGGCGGCCGGGGCGTTGGGGGGGGCGCGGGGTGGTCCGGGGCGGGTCGGGGTGGGGCGTCGCAGCGGGGCAGGGAGGGGCGGGGCCCGGTGCCGCTACAATCGGGCGAGTGGGCGGGCCCGGGGGGGCCTCCGCGCGCAGAATCGGGAGGGGGGAAGGGGTGGTGGGGAGGTCCACCGGCACCCAACCCGAGGCGCACCTCAAGGGTGCCCGCTCCGGGGGGTGTGTGGGGGGGGGGGCCAGGTGCGTGGGCGGGCATACAATCCATTACAAGGGTGGGGGTGGGGGGGTGGGTGGCGCTGGCGGGCCGTGGGGGGGGGGATGGCTTCACGTGGCCGCTTGCCGGAAGGGGTGGGGGCGGGCCTAGTGTGAGGGAAGGGGGGGGGTGCGGGCCCGGGGGGGTGGTCGGGGTGTTTGGGCGGGCAAAAGGGGGGTCGGGGGGCGCAGTGGGGGACGGGCGAGCATGATGTGGGCGGGTGGGGCACCAAGGGTGGCAGGCGCGGGGGGGCGGGGGGGGAGGGTGGGGGGGGGGGTGGGGTGGGCGTTAAGGGGGTGTGTTTTGGTCTCCCCAAAAAGCCAAGGTCAATTACAATATACCCCTACTGCCGGGGGGGTTGCTAGGGGGGTGGTCGGGGCGATATGCGGAGGCCAATTACGCCCCGCGGTGGGGTATGGTCCAGAGGGTACCCCCACGTCGGGGGGCGCGCCCTCCAGGCTTGCAAGCGTGATGTGCAGGTCCTCACAATGTTGGAGTGGCGGGGGGCTCCTTAGCACAATTCATGGTCTGTTGGTGTAGTGTCCTATTCTTTTGATTATGTTTTGCTACTCTCACCTGCCCCCGGTTGGGCTGGTGTCGCGGGGCCGGCCTTGCCCCCCGTCCCCCCTACAGTTGATGTGGAGGTGATCATTCCTCTGTGCTGGGCTGTGTGGGTTTCACCCCCCAAGTGGGGTGGAGGACGCCCTCACTTGAGTCACCCCCCCTATGGATGGGGTACCCCGGTGCCACGCTTCTGCGGAGTGTGTGGGGTGTGTGTGGGTGGGTGTGTTGTTTTTTTTTTGTTCTTTCATTTGTATTCTACTTCCGACTGGGGGGGAGGGGTAGCGATGGGGGGGCGGGGGTGGGTGGGGCAGGTTTGTGAGGGGGGGGGGGGGGCCGGGGGGGGCGGGGAGGGTGGGGGGGGGTATGTGGGTGGCGGCGGCGTGGGGGGGGTGGGCCCTGGGGGGGGGGGGGGGGGGGGGGGTGGGGCAGGGGAGGGGGGAGGGGGGGGGGCAGGAGGGGGGGGGGAGGGGGGGTGGGGGAGGGGGGGGTGGGGGGTGAGGTGGGCAGGGGGGGGTCGTGGCGGGGGGGCCGGGGGGGGGGGTGGGGGCTTTGCACTGTTTTGTGTATGGCTATGCATTTATGCTGCTTTTTCATTTGCTTTTCATATACACCCCGTCGGTTGGTTGCCCCCTCGGTTTCACTTTCCGCTGGATCTCCGCACGTCAACTGGAAGTTCAACAATCTTCCTGCTCAATTGCCTACGTGAACTTTATTAACTGTCCCCCCCCTACAAACAGTTTTTTTACCGTTTCGACACCGTAGGGAGGACACGGGTGGGAGCCCGCTAGGGTCCGATTGCATGGTTCTCCCCCAGCAGCTGCATCGGGTTTCACAACCTGGTCTCGCAGAAGGCTGGCCCGCGACGGACAGTCCTCACGTAGATCGAAGGACTGCTTACACAGTCCCTTCTGGGAGAGGGCTATGTAGCAGTCTGGAGATTCCCCGGTTTGCTTGTGTAAAATTCTAACCCAAAATTCTATAATTGTACACTTAGGCAACCGGTGTGGTTTGTTGAACTGATTGCTGAGTTCGAATGCTTTACTTGCTCATCGCCATTTTTGCTTGGCGCTCGCTTCGGTTGCAACGCGCGACTGCTCTGTGTGCTGTGCTTTATCCGTTCCCCTAGCTAGAGCGTCCACGGTGTCGTTCATTTATAGCTAGCTAACAGGGAATCTTTTGCTGAACCAATAAAAGTTTCCCTGCAAATTGATCCGTCTTCTCGAATCGCTCTCTGGGCTCCCGGAATAGGCAACCCTCTAAAAATGTAGCTTCAACTTGCAACATAGAGGAATTGCATGGGTACCTGAAAATACGTATCACTTATGTCAGCGTACTGTTGTAATGGTAGGGGTAGGGCAGTGCGACGTTACAGTCTAGTGCTAGCCTGCTTCCTTCGTAGTTTGGCGGCCGGAATAAGTGACTGGTTGCGGGCAGGGTCATTTACGCGGCATCATTGGCTATGGAGAGGGGTATGATGATGGCGCAGCAACATACTGCTGGCGCATTTTCCTTTTTTCGTAATGTTTGGAATAGAAATGCAATTTTGCCACTCTTAAAATGGCAGTTGACAGAAGCGCTTTCATTAGATATGTTAACCGGCTATGTGCGGCGAAACATTAGTGTCCAGGATCATAGGTAATCTAACGCCATGCGTTGGTGGCAAACACAAAGGAGTAAGATTCAAACTCAAGTGGGAAAGGAGCAATAGTAAATTTCCCCTGGTCTTTTCATCCTGCATGGGTCTTTGAGTCACGCTAGAATTTGGCGGCAATATCGGCCAGTTGGGGAAGACAATGCGGCACGTACAACTCAAACCATGTTCTACCAATTAGCACCCAATTGTTTAGCGCTGGCAGTCCCCGCTGCGCCGGCCGTGTGAACTGAAACGGGAACCGAAATTTGTAGAATAGATATAAAGCGGAAGGGTACGACAGAGAACAATGAAGAGGAAGTTGTTGTGAGCGAATAAAAAGCAAGAAGGCTGGAGAGCAAACAGCAACTAAATAAGGAGAAGGGAAATATTTGGAGCTGCAAGTGGAGGGCGTCGAAACGACGTTTAAACTCTGTCACCGTGGATGATGAGACTACGTCTTAAGTAACGCATTCGACTTGGACTTGCTCAGTGGACGTCGGTAGAGCGTACCCCGGCTAAAGCTAAAACTAGCAGCAAGGACTTATCTAGCACAACTATACCATGCACCGTTAACTTAATGGCCATCTTTTCTCTGAGTTTCCAAACGGCCGAGCTTCAAAACGACGTGCTGAACCTCAAATTTGGCTTCAACACCTTAGAACCTTTTCCTGACTGACTGGTAGTCATGGCGACTATGATGCACCCCAAGGACTCTATGGAGGTTAATCAAGCGGAGTTGGTTAGCAGGTTCCTTAACAAGATTTGCACCGAAGTAATGAATCGGTTGAACTGTCGTAATGAGGTAATGGCCTAAGAGGTTCTAGACCGCCGGAAACTGCACATAATTTGCAAAATACGGCTGAAAGTGTGTGGCTTGGAACACAATCTTTTGAGCTGTACAAGGCTGAGAATAATAGTTACGAAAGAGCAAAGCCTCCATTTAGTCGAGTTTGATAATGATAGCCTGCCTCTCAAGATTTTGTCTTATCAAAGAGAATTTGGAACCAACAAGCCGCTCGTTGACTTAAAGATAGTACCAGCAAAAGCGGCTTTGGAACGCCTTTACGATAGCCCAAAAGAGAGTTTCGCACAGAACAGATGTGTCCAAGTGAATTGTGACAACCGTCCGACGCCTGTAAACCTAAGTGGCGCATCTACTGCGAACCTTGCTCTTTCGCCTGTTATGGATACTGGATTGCTTGAAAGAATCTGCAAACCCTGGGAACAGTACTATCCATAAATCCACAACATGTATAGATAAAAGCATCCAACCTGAGAACAGTATAGGAAACGCCACAGCTAATCCTATGTGTTCAGCTGCTGATACAACTCGATCCGTTTTACCTGAAGGGCCAATGGTTGACGAATTTCTAGGACAACCTTTAAACAGTCCAGTTAGGTCGGGCGTGTTAGAAAAATTAAACGACGCAGCGAGTCCAGCGTAACCTACACGAAGAGGACAGATCCGCCGGCGCCTCGAACCAACCGGCCTCGTGTATGGACCACACCACCGAGTTCACCTGCGCCGCTGGGCTCAACGACACCAACTTTGGAAATAAGAAAAGCGGAGACCCTAGCACCATATAGTGCTGAGCACGGCAATGGATTGCGTAGCACCCTAGTGTTCAATGATCCAGACGACATATCGGTGGACTCGGTTAGGCGTGCAATCATTGCGGTTAATGGCATTGCAGAGAATGCACCGCAGGTTCAAAGACTGACCAAGCAAGTAACCAAATTTACGGCTCCCATCAAACTGAATGTAAAGGATGAGGCAGTATTCCGTACCTCCATAGGTAACCGTGAACAACTTCGCAGTGCAATCTTGCTGAGCCAGCTTACGCTGGGCCGCTGCAAGGAAGCATATGTTGGACTGCGACGAATCTTAACATCAAAACAGACTTTGGTCAACGCGAGTCAAGCGAGTCCAGCAAAAATCAGCGAGCGCCACATAACCTCTTAGACAGCACCGTGTCTAAACGTACGGAGGCACCAGTGCCAAATGGGCTGGCAGACGGAACAAAACTAGACACTCCATTAAGTTGGTTATGTCGCCTATGTACGCCTTAAATATATCAAGCTCCGTAGACAAACAGTCGCTGCAGCCGGGTTAGGAAAATTGGTTTTCGGCGTACTTGCATTTAATGTTTCGGCTGACTTATGGACGGGTGAGTTTAACAACACAATCCTTAAAGTTAACGGTATTGCGGAAATTTCGGTGTAACTTTAGAAGATGACCAAAAGGAATCGCAAATTCCCAGCCCCAAGCAAACTGAGTACAGACGTTAGTTCAAGCTTGCACATTATTTTAATGAATTATGAACAACTCCGCAATGATACCACTTTAAGGCAACTTTATTTCGGCCCACCAAGACGGAATCTACCAAACCATACCCCAGCTGCTTGTGAAACGGTGCCCCGTATCACCACCGCAACCAATTCACCTACGGGGGAGCAATACATTTGGTAATCTACACAGCTCTGCTCAACTTCATGCGCATCCAGGTTGCCGCGCACCTTCTACGTGCCTCAGACTTACGCCGCCGGTCCAGCTACATAGGCCAACTAGTCCAATGCTTCCTATACCGCAACCTGCGCCTTTTTAGACGAGGTGGGGATGAGCCGCGACGGTTTCATTCCGGCAACATACACAACGTCGCCCAACTATTAACCGCAATGTCTTCTTACTCCATTCCTACAACTACTGCAGATGGCGAAGTATCTATCGACAGCTTCATTTCATCAGCCGTGAGGCTCGTAGGCCCCAAAGTTCTTTCTTACTCCTACTTATAAATGTTAGGTCCATAAGCAGAAAATGAATATCCTGCTCCCTCGGTCTTTTATCGCCGACCCCGATGCAATATTTGTCACGGAAACAGGATTTTCCCTTATGCTTAAGACGTGCATTACTCACATCCAGACGATCAGTTATTTAAGCGATTTACTATGCATAAACGGGGGTGGGCGGGCGAGCCATGTACGTTAAAAGTACATACCCAGCAATAATGTCCAAAATCATGCACGCGTTTGCGGCAGTGGATTTAGTATGGATAACGGCTGATATGCTGGGATCAGAGGTAAGATTTAGGAGTGTGTATAGACCGCACGATACCTTAAGTAAGGGTGACAACGCGCTTATGGTTACTTTTGCACATGCATAAAGATTTTCGTGCGAATACAAACTGGTTGCAGGAGATTTCAACCTGCCGGGGTTGAACTGGCACTCACCTGCTGCAGCAACGAAGTATGCCGGCCTACTGGCACGTATCAACTTGGGCGGCTGGACGCACGTTTCGTCTGCTCCAACCAGGGCGAAACACATACTTGACCTGATATTTACTCCGGCCATCCTATCTACACTAGTGTCAGTCGGCCAGGAGTTTCGGGTACTGCTCACAGATAAATGTATTGCTCGGTTTACTTAAACCAACATTATGCCTACCCGACAGGAACAGACGCAGACGTAATATGCCGCCCGATGCACCTCGTTAACTGGACAAACTTTGCTGTATTCATCCAAGCACGCAACTAGGGTGAATGCTTTATATCGGAGCCTGTGGCTAGCTCGGCTGAGCGGTTCTATGAGGAAATACTTCACTGTCTTGACTCGCTAGCTCCCATGTCTCATTTATTAAGCCAATCATAAAAAAGTGTGACCCTGTAATGTTCGTAGCTACTTCAATTTTTGCGCTTTTCTCATTTCGTTTTTCTATGCGTCTTGTACAGTTGGTTTAATTGACCGTTTTTCATATACACAATTCTCGACCTCGAACGGTGCGTTCTGCTTTCCTGCGGCGGCTGGTTAAGATTGATTTTGTGTGCTCGAGAAGCCTGAGCTACGCGGATCGGATAGTGGGATCGCGTATCAGATAGTGTACAATACCAGTGGAGTTAGTCCAACCGCCACTACTGAAGGCCAGCGTGTTGATATTTTATCCGACACTAATCCATTCCTTCAGGTGCGGTAGTTTAAGATCAGTTTTCATACCACTACATAATTAGTGACCCCTGTTTTGCTCTTTTCCTACTGTAACTTCTTTTCGCCTGCGTGGTGTAGTCCAGTACCACTCCACATACTAACTCTCCTGAAAACTTTGGAGGTTCTCCTTACCGGTTTTTGATGTTAACAAGGCACACGTCTGGCTTTTACAGTTAAACTTTGTTTTCCGTTGCCGTAGAATCACTTCTCGAAGTTCTGTGTTTTCCTACGTCGCTGCCCATCGTCCCAAGCACATACCCGCCGATGTGTAAGACCTACTGGACCCTGTTCCTACCGATTCCTCAACAATAAGCTTAAGGCTGACGTTTTGAAAAGCCTTACAGCTTCTGATGAGACCAGATTCCATCAAGTTCTCATCGAAGTTGAACAGGGTGCGCACGCACCTTCACAGCTTCCCCGTTATATGCGCTCTCTCGTAAGTTCCGCGAAAGTCGACGACAACGTCTTACGTCAATTGTTGGCTAAAATGTCTTCCATCCAACACTACGGCGATTCTTGCTGTATCTGCCGACGATTTGTCACTTGACAAGCTAGCAGAAGCGGCCGACAAAGTTCATGAGCGTTTATTTTAACGTCCAGTTTGCCACACCGCCTGAGAATTCCTTGTCATCAGGACCCACTGAATGTATTTGTAAGAGACCCGAAATCGCCGCTAAAAGAAGACGGCTTCACCGCATTCGAAGTTTTAAATCGACCTCGAGAAGCAGAAATAGACACGCTAGGAACACTAGACAGCATATTTGCCATCATCATCAGCGTTTTGGTGATGCCGCTAAAAATTGTTTTCCTGGCTGCTCGTATACGAAAGCCTTCCTGAAGGCTTAAGCGGGAAACGCCCCAACCAGCCAGCAATGGCAACGACTTCATCTGGCCGATCTTCTAGTCGCCTGCTTTTTTGTCCGTCATTCCACAACCGACCTTTCATTCTTGGTTGACACCGAAGCTGAGGTGAGCGCTCTGCCTCGTGGAATGAAAAAACGCTACTTCATTTCCACATGACCTACTATCCAGGCGGCCAATAACACGAGAGTCCAGACCTACGGTCAGAAATTTCTTACTCTCAAGGTTCTCTTCGACGAACATTTTCTTTTGTTTTCTGGATCGCAGGTTACAATGCCAAATTATCGGTGTCGTTTTGCTCACCTAATCTGGACTTATTGTCGACTTACTTAACAGGGAATTCCGTGATAGTATTACCTCCCTCACCACACCGGGCGGAGCCAATTTGATCAGCTCGATCGGACTTCACCGAGTTACTACAACAGTACCCCGCGTTGTACCTGCCGGCAAAAAGTTGTCCTGCACCTAAACATGAGATTTTGCACGACATCGTTACTCGTGGACCACCGGTTATGTCTCGACCTCGCCGACTACCAGCCGATAAACGCGCCGATACCAAAGCTAAATTTGCGCAAAAGTTTCGTCTTGTTGTCGTTCGGCCTTCTAATAGCCCATGGTCCTCAATTTTGCATTTGCTCCACAAAAGGTCTCGCGGAGTTTGGCGACCTAGTGGTGATGACCATCAGCTTAATAATGTCACTATCCCTAACAGGTATCAGGTACCACATATTCACGACCTTTTTCTTGGCCTAGACGGCAAAGCAACTTTTTCTAAGGCTGACTTGGTCCAGGCATATTACCAAATTCCTGTCGCCACTGATGACCTTCCCTCGGTTGCTTAGTGGTAGAGCAGCGGACCGGAAATTCGTGGTTCGAGGTTCGATTCCCCGTCGAGGCACATTATTTCTGACAGTGTTCCAGGACATGGTGTGTTTTTGCCTGGCAAGCGTTCGCCCTACAAAAAGCCACGAATGTCCGCTTAACAACACTGCGACGTAGCGGATGTGACTCGCCACTGAATAAAGTCACTGCCCGCAACTATATGCTGGCAAGTCGACTAGAAGCATAATTTTAATATTTTCATAACACGTTAAAGAGTAAGATACTCCTTGTTTATATGTATCTTTTTCACTACAACCGTAAGGCCCAGACTGTTTGTACTAGCACGCTAGAACCCAACGTGTCGTCATGCATTGACGACTTTATTCCTCATGATTTCCAAAATTTCCAAAACCTTTACAACTTTCGGCTTGCTGCCTTTTAAATAAGTAGCAAAGTGTTTGTTGCGAAACATAATTGCAGGTAATTGTTGTTCATGCCTAGTTTGGTGCCTCCACAAATTCGAGCATATACTATTTATTTATTTATTTATTTAAGACCGCTATAACCACCCACTCCGGTCTTTTGGAAGTTGTCCGAATGCCTTTTGTACTACAAACGCCGCATAAACATTTAAGCGATTCATTGACCAGGTTCTCCCAGGACTTGATTTTGTTTTTGCTTATATCGATGACAGTCACGTGGCCAGCCCTAACCACGAAGAACATCTCTTTCATCTTCGCCAAATCTTTGAGCGTTTCGATCAATATGGCGTTACCATCAACATGGACAATGTGTCTTTGGCCAGTCCAGCTTTGATTTTATCAGTCATCGAATCGTTCGCACCGGAATCAGTCCACTCCCAGAGGAAACAAAAGCAATCACATAATATGCGGTACCACAGTCCTATAAAAACCTGCGCCGTTTCCTCGGTATGGTGAATTATTACGGCCGCTTTATACCTGATTGCTCTAAATTGCTTCAACCTTTACCAGACTTGTTTAAAGGAATGACTCGAAATTTCAAACCCATTAACGAAGCAATAGACGCTTATTAAACCTGCTTTGTCTACCGTCACAGCTTTGGGCCATTTACAGTCTGATGTTAATACACCTCTCATCCTTAAAACGGATGCGTCACAAACCGCAGTTAGAGCCGTTCTGCAAGAACTCCTCAGTAGGTCATCCCGAACCACAATCCTTTTTCTCCCGTAAATTACAACCCGCACAAGCTAGGTATAGTACCTTCGGAAGAGAACCTTTGGCCCCTAACTCGCCATTAAACCTTTTTGACACCTCCTTGAAGGTGGTTCATTTACCATCGTAACTGGTCACAGGCCACTTGTTTTGGCCTTTCGGGTTTTTTCGGACTGTTTTTCCCCTCGTCAAACGCGACACCTTGATTACATATCGCAGTTCTCTGCTGCCATCTGTCATATAGGCACTACGGACAACGTGATAGCGGACGCAATGTCCCGCATTGGAATTCACGAATTTCACGTCCGAAAATTGAGCTAGAGGAAATCGCCGCTCATTTGGTTGGAGATTCCGAGTTTATGCAAAGGAACTTAAACCCTTCGATCAAACTTACCCTTCTGCCGCTTCTTAACTCTGACTCTAATGTTCATTGTAACATGTCTAGGGTAAGCCCCGACCCTACGTTCCCCAACCTTACCGCCGAGTCATTTTCAGTCACTCCCATGGGCTCTCGCATCAAGCATTCGGGCTACTGTTAGGTTGATTACAGATCAATTCGTTTGGCCCGATATGCGTTTGAAATCCAACAGTGGGCAAAGCACTGTGTTACGTGTCAGACCGGCAAGATTCATCGCCATACAATCAAGGTCCTTGGCACTTTTTCACTACCGGATGCTCGCTTCAAGCATGTGCATTTGGATGTTGTTGGTCCCTTGCCCCTTCCAAGGGTTTCCCATACTTGCTGACATGTGTTGAGAGATTTACACGTTGGCCGCATGCAGTGCCATTAGGGGACGTTTCCTTTAAAACAGTAGCGCGACCCGTCACCGAAATGTGGATTCCCTTCTTTGGCACACCTGCTACTATCACGGGAGACAGAGGTTCGCATTTTGCTTCTTCGTTGGTTCGTGACCTAAGCCGTTTGCTCGGTTTTTCTCATGTACGCACCACCGCTTACCGTCTTGCTTCCAATGGTTTGGTCAAATGTTTCCATCACCAACTGAAAGCTCCGATTACCACTTCTCAGTCTAGCACGCAATGGTCAGAGCGTTTGCCAATAATCCTACTTGGCATACGTAACACGTTCAAGGAAGACATAGGCTGTTGCCTAGCTAAATTAGTTTATGGCACGCCAATTAGACCTCCTGGAGAGATGGTGCTAGATTCAAGGATCACTGGAGAAATGGATCCCACAACGTATGCCACACACCTGAACAGTCACTCCAGCTCGGTACGCCCACCATCTCCACGACTCATGCCTCGCAACCCACAGGTCCATCCTGGTCTTCGCGATTGTCACTAAATTCTTTTGTGCATCGGCACTGTTCGTAAATCTCTGACGACACCCTAGAGGGTCATTACGCGGTTATCTACCGCAAGAACAATATTTGATATTGGACCGAAATGGCTACAAAGAGTCTATAAGCATCGATCGTTTTAAACCAGCTTACATCGAACTTCCTCCGTCTCAGCAATCTTAAGAACGCATCTGTTCCCGATGATGATCCATCGCCGAGCACTCCCCTTCACAGCCTATGTGTGATCCCAGTGTCTTTTCTTCCCAACCCCCTGCATCCCTTCCCTTGCAACCACACACATACACAAACGCACACGTTTTCGTCGTACGGTGGTTCCACCTTCTAACATAGCGTTTTACAATCAGTGAGACGCACATTTCGAGCATTCGCTTGTTCACTCACGCTCTAGGGGAGTCCTGTAATGTGCATAGCTTTTCCATTTTTTGCGATTTTCTCATTTCCGTTTTCTATGCGTCATGTACAGCTGTTTTAATTGACCGTGTTTTCATATACACAATCCTTGACCTCGAGCGGCGCGTTCCGCTTTCCTGCAACGGCAAGTTAAGATTATATTTTGTGTGCAGGGCTGTCTGAGCTACGCGGAACCGACACTGGAATATCGTATCAGGAAGTGTGCAATACAAGTGGAGTTAGTCCAACCGTCACTACTGAAGGTCAGCGTTTTGCTATTTTTATCTGACACTAATCCTTTCCTTCCGATGCGGTAGTCTGAGGCTAGTTTTCACTCCACTACAACCCAAACCGGAATGCACAACAGAATGTGTCAGCTTAAACGATCCCATAACCAAACCTTCATTTC